TGCCTACAGACGCTTGGTGAATTTTATACTTTAAATCCGGAGCTTACTTGGATCGATATGCGATGGCGGAGTTATCTAGTTTCGACGAGTCAGGCCTATTGGCAAAGCTAGGATTGATTGTAGACGCTAAGTCCGACGCGAAGGGACTCCGAGGGTCGCTGAGACGATAATTCTGGTACGCTGAGAGGGTGAAGTACAAAACTTGGATTTTCCACTACGCTCCATACATTTTTATGCTATTGGAATGGTTTTGCGTCCGCCCGGAGTTAAATAACAAATATGCTCCGCATCCCACACAATTACTCAGCCTTTGCCCACCGCTATACCATGTCCCATACGATCCTGCCGTGTTTCCACGTGCTCGTCCTAGGTCCTATAGGTAGCCTCGACGCGTCAATGCTCGCTTGAAGTGCCTCATCACGCGGTACTGCAGGCTGATCACGTGCGGATTAGCTCCGGCCGCTTGCTGACTGATACGTTCCATCCGGCCATCGATTTACGTCCGCTGACTCGGTCGCTTTGATGGAAACGAAGGGGAGTGATGACTGGGGAGTGGTAATACCAATGACTCACTGCGACGCGGGCCTCCGCCGTTCCCGGAGATAATTAGTCACAAAGGTATTCTTCCGGGTGACTTCGGAGCGTCTGGCTGCGGAGCTAAATCATTTTGGTGATCTGCGCCTGCCTTGAGGACGTTAGAAGGTCCGGAATTAAATCCAGAACCCTTCATCGGTTACTTGTCGCGTAAGAGGTTCGACAGGTGGTGTCGAATAAACTTTGGAGGGGATGTATGGTGTGTCAAATTCGCAATTTCGGGGGTCAGAAGATCGCTGGGGCTTATCACCGGGCGCCCTCAGTGGCAGCTTCTGCTGTGCTGCATGGGTTCACTGGGGGACTGTAAGAAAATAACTGCTGCATCTATAGGCGGAGAGCATGCCCGTGAGGGCGTACTGTGCTGGCAAGGACGAACAAAGGAAGGTTGATCCGGCTCCTACATCCCACATGGACTCGACGCGACGCAAGCCGGGTCTACGGACCCGCTGCGGGACGGAGTGTCGTCCCATCTAAGAGGGATAGAGCACTGAGAATGTACACGGAAGGAGATACCGGTGGTATGGTCTAACACGTCGTGGAGCTGTCCTTGAGTTTTCGCCATGCTGATCCTCCAGTTTCTTTCTGATGAAACAGCCTCTAGGTCACTTCCTCCCATTCGATGTCCTGGAGTGGCAGGTGTCTACATCTGCCGCCGCTCCGTCCTTCTCTTCAGGTCCTTCGAGTGTCCTCCCAAGGCTTCCTTGTTGGCCCTTACACGTCCATGATGCCATTTGATGTACCCCCCTTGCTCAATAGAACATAAATGACTACTTACTTGACACGTTTTGAAGACTAGGCGAGCATAAGACTCGGAAGCAGCGTCTGGCAGCCAGCCCGTGACGCATGGGAGCATCCCACAGCTGGCTACAATGGTGTGCGAAGTGTGGTACGTCAGTTGGATTGCATCCAAATGGCACGGAGGTCCGTAATCCCTCTATACGAGTTGAATATTCGCCTCATTCAGTGGTGTGTGGGGCACGCGTCAGTTATAACGTTAAATTCGAGATGTGGAGGCGGATGTGTGTATCGATGAGTCCTAATCAAGACAGCAAAATAAAGTAGAAAGCAGTTCAAAACAACGAAAGCAATATGGTACAGCATATGAATCGATGAGATACCCATCCCCACCGAGACCACCCTTTCCACCACAGTGCTCAACCCTACATCCCCAATCGCGCAGCCCATTCGCTCTCTTCCTGCTTCATATTCCAGCACAAGGTAGCATCTTTCTTCTTGTATTTGCTGGCAAAGTCACCTTTAACTTGTTCCAGTCTTTTCCGCAATATATCTGCATATTCTGTCGCCAAGTGGCAAAGGAAAGTCGTGAAGTGGAAGGTGCCGATGGGGGTAGCAATGTCGAATGATCTCGCGTTGGCCTCCAGCATCTTGAAATACTGTGCAAGATATACATAGATTAAGACAGCCCGCCAGCACAATTATAAAAGCGGAACATATCTACCCGAGTTCTCTTGCGGCGGGGGACGGGACCAGTTAATGTGTGTGAGTGCGTGCACGTAACAACACCCAGGGATCCCTCAGTCACAAGTGTAAAGACGGGGAAGTCCTCTATTCCGAGGACAGAAAGAAATTTCGCAGTGGCAACACCATACATCCGAGCCTGGTTGACTCCTTTCAGGCTGAAGTCATCAGAGAGCTTCTTGTACTCTGCTAGGAGCAATGGAATATCTAAGCATTGCGGTGCCGAATCTGCAGGATACGGTCGTTTCATGGGTGAAGTGATTGCCATTCCTTCGAGCTGAGCTGTCAGACGCATGATGTCCGACTCGGATAGATATGCAGCCTCGTTCCGAGTGTAGGCGGAGAGGTCAGCCTGGACATTAGGGTCCACCCAGCGCTGGAGAGCCTGTTCGGAACCAGCACTGCGAGTCTGATTGGTATCGCCTTTCCACGCGGGACAAACTAAGGGTGCGTGGGGTTGCTCACTGGGGTCGCTGTCAGATTCCGGCCTGGTACCAAGATTGACAAGCTCGAGGTCTTCCTTTGAAGGTGCGCTTCCAGGGAAGAAATGGGATAGATGAAGGACGGAAATAGCGTCACATGTACCGGTTAGCGGCTCTTTGTCAGCCACTTGGCTGGGGGCTCCGGCCTTAAACACCGTTGCCGTATTACCTGTCCAGTGAAAGAGGTAGTCGGAAAGTCCCTCTAATTGCCGTTCGTGAGAATCCTGGTCATTGGTTTCACCCTCCAGGCCTCCGTCCTCCACATCAGTTGTCTCAGAGGATCGCTGTGCACTTGTGCATTCGCCGCACACCTCTTCTAGAGCTGTGATTATGAATTTCATCTCATCCTTGCTGGTCCTGCGTGCTGCTTCATTCCTAGGCAGGTTCAGGCGGCGCTCCAGACTATTTGCAGGATCAGTCGAAAGAAAGAGCCTTAAAGAGGTCATTATAGCAGAACATACTATTGCATTACAGTGCCATCTTGGGTCCGCATAAATTCCATTAGTAGATGATCCCATTCAGGCCTTACTTCAGCCTCGGGCACCTTACGGTACTCCGCTTGTTCGCGCCGTTGCCGTGCATGGGCACAGGCCTGAAGGATGAACACCAGTTTTTCCTTAATAATTTCGGTGGTTTTCTGCGGCAAAGAATGGGGAGGAGAAGTGACACGCTCTCCACGGAGTCGATTGCTGTAAAAGAGCTCGTGCCTAACCACTCCAGGTCTTTCCCAACAGGGGGAAGATCACTCTGGGGACAAAGGGTCGTGATGATGTAAGAATGAAGTCAGACTCGGAGGATAGACATACAAGTTGTTTCCAACCTGCAGGCCAATAGTATGCTGTGAACCGTTCATACATGTTGACAGGACCAGGACCGGCACTGATTGGACCGTCATGCAGCGCAACCGGAAAAAATGACGGTATCACCTGGCGGTAAATAAGCCAGGATTCCATGCGTCCAAGGGGATCCTGTTCTTTCTTCGAGACCGCCGCAAACCTGGACATATCAGGGACAACATGTGGAAGTTGGTGGTCTACACGTACCCAGAGCACGACCACCGTGAAGATTTCTGACTCCCGATCGGATCTGAAGATTGTAGTGCGGAGGAAGGGTGTAACGACTCCGACTTCGTGGAGTCAGGTCTAGTCAACTGCACTTCACTAACGAAAATTAGGAAACTTAATGGACTGCCTTATGATACGTACGGTGATAAGCCTCAGGATCGTCTGACCCCCGAAAATGCGGACTCAGCACATCGTACAAGCCCTCCGGAGCTTATTCGACACAGCACTCACACGCCACTAGGCTTTTATGGGCTCTAAAGAACTGCTCTATGTAGCTCCGGACTTCCTAGCATCCTCGAGGCGTACACGGACCCATTCCGCGATTTATCTCCGCAAACAGGAGCTCCGGAGCGACTTAACCAACGCAACTTCTAGATGAATTAGCTCCGGGGCCGTGGGCACTTCTATCGAGGGGCATCGTCCTCATGCCCACCCTCCAGCACTCACTCCCCCTCGCTTCCGTCAAGATACCGAAGGTGCGGACGCATACGAGTCACCATGAGGCCAGCATCAGTCAGCAAGCAGCCAGAGGTAATTAGCACGTGACCAGCGCGTCACACGGAGTGATGGGACCGCTTGGATCAGGTGGCAGAGCATCAAGGCGACCTCTAGGGGTTGGGACGAGCAAGTAGGAGTGCAAGGGAGTCGTGTGGTGCATGGTATAGCGGCGGCAAGTGCTGAGCAATCCTGTGGGTAGCGGCGGTTATTTGTTATTTATCTCTGGATGGTCGCAAAGCCATTCCTGTAGTATAAATTGTACAAAGTAGCATACAGAAAAACAAGTTTCGACTTCACCATCTCAGAGAATT